TGCTGAACTGAATGTCTTTCCAGATGGCTTGGCATAGTTGCTGCAGAAAACATGATTTTCCACATGGAACACAAAGACTTTTAAGATTTGCTGCGGACTCAAATAGGCAACTGTTGCTTTTGCTGCCTTTTTGGATGCCAATTGCCGCAGGAACTGTCCAATACTTGGGAACTGTGAATGGTTGTCCTAGATGTTTAATCTGTGCTTCTTACGCTTCTTATTTGTGGAGACCTATGCTTCTGGGCCAGGGTCTCCGTGAAAGGTGGTCTCCGCGGCACGTCTCAGAAAGATGGGGGTGGAGTTTCCCCTAGTAGGGGTCTTTTGCTAGTTGCTATCCATCATGGCACTGATCTATTTATTTACATTGGAGCGGTTGAAGAGTTCTGGTGCGTTTTTGGGCATAGATGGGGTAGAGTCGGACAATTGCTTAAAGCGATGGTGTGGCATGCGGCATGCGGCATAGTGTGGAAGGGCACTGGTTTTATCACACCAGAGGTCCACTGTTGACACAAGGAGATCGCCTTGGTTCTTCAGAGACTGCCTTCTTTAGAGTCACTGATACTCCTCTCCGCATCCCAATTTCGAACCAGTTTCAGAACACCCACTTCACACTTAACACGATGTCATGGCATTCAAAAGCGCTGTTTGACGATGATTTTGGAGGTGTGTTCGTGGTTTGGACACTCCCACAGCCCCCGATCGCGGAACTTCGACACCTTTGCTCGAACTTCGGTGCCGCAACCATTGAGGATTGTGGAGTGCAAATGGGGACTCTCGATGTATGGTGATCTACAGAAGATGGACGCTTTGCTCCACTTCCTTTACGACGCATGGCCGGACGCGTGACCTGAAGGCGCCTTGTTGGGGAGTCTGAGGAGCGAAGGGTAGACGAGACGTTGCCAAGGCCCGGGTTTGGGAGCATGGTAAACATCGTTGGACACGCTTTCGTAAATGGACAAACGCCACAAAGTTATACTCCAGTGTTTGGGTATCAAGTAAGTACACAGCAAGTTTTTTTCGAGATGGATCCGCTTGTGATTTTGCCATGCGAAGATGATTTCTTGGACCGAGGAGAGTGGCGAGGCGCAGTTCCAAGTGGGCCGCTCCGGGATCTTTGACAGATGGGGAGTGGAAAGAAGGGTGGGATCGGCAGTTAGAGTTAAAAGATCGGCAGTTAGTTGACAAAGGATCGATAAAGAGCTATATTATGTTATATTTAATCGACATATATCGACATGTTAATGTTCGCTTTTGTCTTTGTGTTTCCCAACAAACTCATGTCGACTGTTTTGTCTCAGAAAGACCAATCTGGACATGTATAACCTGCGGCTGTTTTGCCAGCCTTCTTGCTATGCGGAAGTAGTCCATGTTGTTTGTTTGGTCACGGTCCCATCGTTTTGACCCACCGCCGTCTTTGGAGCTCCTTGGAACCTGTGGACTTTCATCAGCGGGGAACGGAGCTGGGACCGTCCGCGGTCGAGGAAGTCCTTGAAGCTTCAACTCCCGAAGGGCCTGGAGGCGCGGTCCACGGCGCGCCGGAGGGGCGTGGACCGGAAAAAGCGGAGAACCGGAGGGCGTTTGGTGAATTGGGACTGGACCAGGGCGTTTGGTCGACCTCGATGATTGGCCAGCGGAATCGCTCTGAGAAGATTTGGAGATCATATAGCTTTGCTACACCGCAGGAGTGTTTCCCAGACGCCTAGGGTGTAGCAGTATAGGGTGTGCATTGGCGAGATTCTCAAGATAATCGCTAGCCGTTCGAGTGTATGATGTACAATATTTCAATATGTCTTTAATGACATAGGAAAATTCATGTGACACACTTGTCGTCATTCTGAGAGAGAAGATTCTAAACACAACCTCTCTGGCGACAGGTGAAGTACTTCATGGGACACCTCCCAGATGGTGAAGGAGAAGGCTATCGAATGCTCGTTCGGGAGATCAGTAGATCGGAAGACCATCGGTTGGACTCGCACGACCCATGCTAAGAGCATGAACATCACAGAGAATCTTGTTACATTTTGTTACAAGGTAAGGATGAGAAAGCTGCATCATCCGAATCAACGAATCGGCCCCCCTGGATATAAGCTACGCTGGCTTGTCCTGTCAGGTAGATATTCATGGTGTTCTTCCAGTTTGTGGGTTCTAAAGAGGCTTCACCAATGACCCAGAACTTTATGTTCAGATGCTTTCTTTTCAGCCATTCCTGTGAGGTGGGCTGCCCGGAGGGCTCATCCAAACATTGACTGTTTGATAGCAACCTCAGTGTTCCATCATATTTACAGTGAAAATAGGCTTTTTGAAATGCGATGTGTCCTTGAAACTCTAAGAAATCCGGATACTTTTTGTTATCATACCCAGACAGGCCCAGACATGACCCATGGGACTGCCATAGGAGGTTGACAGGGGGGTCAATGGGGCGCAGTCCGTCCTGGCAGTCCCATGGGTCGTGTTTGGGATATATTGTTTCACGTTCGATCCTGAGGGAGACACCGAGACACCTGCTCCATGATCGCCACAGGAGATAGCCTTGATCGCTTGTTGAGGCGGGGTGAACCCGGGTTTTTTCGCTGAATGGGAGCTGGGGGTGTTCGTCATGTATCTGGGATCTCGAGACCATCAGCACTTGCCAGTTCGTATTTAGAGACTCGCTGGTCAGCGCAGTCGAGACCTCCGCCACCAGGCCCTCAGCACTACGGCAAGAGAAGGGGCGCCTGCTGTCCAGCACGCTGCACGACTTCGATGGGGCGCACGATGGCGCACGGGCGGTGGAGAGGTTCTCACCAGAGAGGTGCTGAAACACGCGACGTGTGAGGTTTCTTCGGTTGGAAAACGGACACATTGGAAGAGGGCACCCTGTGACTTTGAGCAACTCCCAACAGGGTTTGAAGCCGCAAAAGCAGAGATTTGTGTTGTGATACGGTATTTTCTTGGAGTTGCCAGTGGGTTGGTCTTGCTGGCCCTATGACTTTGAGCCACTCGAACCCTGTCTACCTTGAGGGGTGGTCCAAGTAAATCATGATAATAAGCAAATCTTTCCTCGATGTCATGTGAAGATGGAGGGTTGGGTTTGGGAAGCTGCAAAGGGGTTGTGGATGATTGGATGCCACTTTTGTGGAGGAACAGTGATTTTTGGACATGCCAGACCAGCCATTTTTCGACCTCTCAGCAAGGTTCTCCCCTGGCTGTGCAGCCCGCGCGAGCATGGAGTTGGTGGTCACCTGGATGCAGATGTGAGAAAGGGCTTGCTGATGTTGAGCACGATAGGATTAGATTCGATGGTCATACTTGTTATAGCAGCACCTTCCAACAGGTCTCCTTTGGAGGGTTGTTAGGCCCTAACAGGTTTCAATTGGTGACCTGTTGGAGGTGCTGGTAGCAACTGTCGTTTCATGTGGGTGAAGTCCCAAGGGTCCCAAAGAAGTTCTGACCATGCTCCCTGCCTCACAGACAAACACAAATGAAAAGCGAGATGGAAAGTATGGAAGAGCAAATCCGTTTCTGGTTTACGGGGTGTACTCGTGCACCTAGTGCCATCCTCCCCCACCAAAGTCTACCAACCTTTTCTGCTTGCTTATAAACATATCGAGGGTGTGTTGCTCGGTCATGCTATGTCGGTGCCTTTGAACGGAACGAAAATACATAATCTGAAGAAGATTGAGCACATGCAACGCCAGGTTTCAGGTTCTCTATTTGCTTGGTTGCTGACAATAAACGCAAGAAAACGTTTATGAAGATCGGACTTTTGCGTTTGAAGGGTTGAGAAGGACCCCAAGAGGTGCTTAGCGCCGCCCAGAAAGCTCCGAAGGACTTCCAGGGCCCCTGGGCAGTGCTGGTGGAGCTGCCAGAAGACGAGGCGTGTCGTGTCCTGTCATGGCTCCATGTCCCCCAATTCCCCAAATCTGGAGCTGGATGAATGCCAACTTGATTCCAGGCGAGGCTCATCCCAGTCAGAAAGAGGGAGAGACACCTGATGACCCCTGGCCCTGACCACTTGACCATAGACCACATGCATTTTGCGTTCGGCACGTGCGCAGGTGGCACGTGCGCAGGCGCGGGTGGATGCCTTTTTGCAGGACGATGGGAGTGATGCCCTGGAAGAAGCACGTCTGTGGCGGAGTCGAACAACCCGAAATGAACGGGTGCAGTACTGGCAAGCGCAACCAGTTGCTATCCATTAGCCATTGACATGATCCACATTTGCAGTTAATGGGTGTCCTAACGTGGGAGAACATGTGTCAGGAGATGTCAGCAGCTATTTTTGGTTTCTCCAGTCATTCGGAACCATATGGTGCTGCAGGACGTACTGCAGCGCATGGAGCGTGGCACACTCTCCATCTACGTGCGCGCCACGAGTGAACATAAAAAACAGAGCCGTGGCGCAGCAGCTGCGCGGTAGTGCGTTTGTGACGCGCTGGGGCAAGTTAGTTGGTGCATGGAACAACCCACCACCAATCCAAAAATCCATAGCAACACCCATATCCACCTTCGTGGCCAAGTCCAGCCAAGTTCAGCTTGTTTAGGACCTCGATTTTGGGGGGTTGATGTCGGTTATAACAAGTGGTTCAAGGAACCAGAGAGCCTAAGAGGTCCCACATTTTTGAAGAAGGACTGGTTCAATGTTCACAGCTGCCGGGCTATCCAGTGAATGACTGGCGAGGAAATCTGATGACAGATTCTTGCCATGAGAAAACTTTCCTCCTTTGGAAACTGTTGCCGCACCCCCCCCCACACAAAACATGGCCAGAGCAAGTCTTGGTGCCCTTTGCATCAACATATGTAGTGTAAGAATAGCTATTTCAACCAGCACTAACTTGTCTAAAATACAATATGTTGATAAAATCCTGAAACAGCAAACCAAAGAAAGCAATCATTCAACCCTGTTGATTCCTTCTTCATTGCAGTGAGTTTACTGCACAAAATCCCGTCACTCACTGCCTTGGTCCTTTCTTCGTTCCATACGTTTCACTCGTCGGACAGTTCTATACCGTTTCGGCCAGGTCTTGGCACATCCCTGCAACTTGGGCTACCACAACCTCAGCCCGGGGCCCCACACAGAGTGGGCCACCTTCTCGGGGCACTCTCGGGTGGCTGAACTCGATCGTCAATTTGTTTAGAAAAGTCATGTTTTTATTGTTCAGTTTTTGGGTGAATGGTCCATTTCATTTGATTGGAGTAAATCATTTGGGCATGTGTTTTATATAGCCTTCACCATGTCCACAGTCCACAGTCCGCAAGAAATTCCCGAACAAAAGAGATTCAGATCTGAATCTATTCTTCATCACTGACGAAATGTGCCTCCCATGTGCCCAACGGAGTTGCAACTCATTCGCCACTCATTCGCCAAAAAAGAACCAACTGCGCCATCCTTTGCCCAGGTAACCTCATCCTCTCTCGCTTTGCGGGGCAGCAGTTGAAGAACCTGGCGGAGCTCGCGCGGGCGGCTCCTCGGTGCGAGGAACGTCGCAAGCGCAGCCGGCGCCCGTCGCCATGGACGAATCCATGGCAAAAAAACAACCCAAAAACCCAGGCAAAAAGGGGTTTTGGAGCTAGGATCGGGGTGGAGGAGATGCTGGGTGGTGTACGTTGTTGAGTCTTTCGTGGGCGGCACATGGCTTAGTCTTCATACCAATAGCTGTCAATCAATAGCTTGAAGTCCTGTATCAAAGGCTTCAGATGTGATCCTGATAGCCTCAAGTTGCATTGGGCTCCATACCTGCACCTGTACTGTATCTAGATAATCTTGGAATCCTTGTAAAGTATTATCACATCTCACATTATCAATATCAAATAAATTGTTGTTTTGTAGTATAACTAGGCCATCAGTGCCCTCCCAGAGCCACAGACCGATCGAAGAATGTGATTTGATGTGGGAAAAGAAAGCAAAGGGCATCGCTACTAGTAACAAGGGCATCGCCACTAGGAGCGTTCGGACGCTACGGTCGGGGCTCCTGGCCTTACTACGAACGGAGCGATCGGAAGCTACGAACGGAGCAAAGGGCATCGCTCCGTTTCCTGCGGTCATCGGCCGTCCCAGTGAACTGACCCCGACTTCGACCCCATGGGCCGCCCCGGAGACGTGCCGACGTGTTGAGTGAGACACCAGGTCGGTAGGAGGATATCCCTGGTAGCATGAGGTGTTTTGAAAGGTCAATGAGTTGTTTTGAAGTGGTCCATTTACTCAGGGTGGTGACTGTTGTTGTTGTTGTTGTTGTTGTTGGTTGTTGTCAGTACGACTTCAAGGCGTTTTCCGATTCGGACTGGTCTTTTGGGCTGAGTTGGGCTGATGGATGCCGATTCCGCGCTCTTTTCGTTCCTTCCCCAGGGCCGGCCTCGAGGCCTTTTTCGTTCAGGATCGATGTGATGGTGGACCAATCATGGTGATGTGAGGAGTCCAATGGTTTAGCTGATGACAATACTCTATCATTCACAACATTTGGGAATCCGACTTCTTTGCAAGGGCTCCATTGCTGAGGCCCATTTGATGTTGAGCCCAGCTGTTTTGGGCGAGAAAGCTTGAGCTGTGTGTCTTCGACCTTTCTGTGTCCGTTTCAGCTTCAGAAAGTCTCCGTTTCGGCCAGGTCACAGAGCAACGTGTCCACTTCCGTCGACATGCAGCTGCGCAAAGCGACACTCGAAATTACTAGAAGCAGGCTGAACCTAAGATGCAAATGCAAAGCACTGCATAACTGCTGGATCCTGCAAGATTGCACACCCCCAAGGCAGGCATTGTCCTCGAGCAACAGGCAAAATCTTGCCAGCTGCAATCTGGGAGCCTGCATGACCTCAAGCCGCAAAGAAGCTGCAAGCGTTGGTAGGCTTGGTGCTCCAACTTGCCATGGCCCTTGCTCTCTGGCCCTTGCTCTTTGCACAGCAGACTAGCAACTCCATCGCTGACAGTGCGCTTTTGCTTTGCACGTAGGTCCTAGGTCGACACGCAGGCTGCTCGGTCCGAATGCTTGATTGCGCGCAGCGCTTCGTAGTTCACTTGCGGCCACAAAACTGCTGCGAAGCAGACCTGAGGGGAAGGGACTTTGGAGAGAAACCTTTTTCGGGTGTTTGAGCGTCTAATTTTGCGCACAGTTTTGACTCGATGCCCTTTTTGGTCTGTTCAGAACAGGTTTTCCGGCCCTTGATGATTCGCGGCCAACTCTGCATTTTCTGAGGTCTCGCGATGCGAAGAGGAGCAGTTGGTGTTACTTTGCGCATCCTGTGGGTGTGAGATGGGCGGGTGTTTGCTATTTGGAGATGTTGAACTTAAGACAACACCAAAAGGCAACCAAGACGTGATTCACGGTTGAGCCACAAACCCTCATCATCCCAGGGGCCAATGTCATGGTCAGCGAACCAACAAACGTGGTTCGCACGGTTGGGGTTTTCGGCCTGGCACCAATCCATGGCACAGATAACTTCAATCGCTGGAAGCCATGACGAATTGAATTGGGAAACAATTGGCTGGGGTTCTCGGAATTTAGTTCAATTCACCCACCCGGATCCCACTTTGTTATTATCATACACTCGATTTCCATGACTGTCAGAAGTCAGAAACTTAGTTAGTCCACTCTCGTTTTCACTTCCCTAGGCCACAGCCACGATGCCTTTGCGTCCACCATGCTTGCTTCTCGAAGGTTCCACTTCCAGCGCCCTCACGGCGATGGCGGGGAGCTGGTGGTCTTGGATCGTCATGAGGCCCATGACGCCGAAGCTGAGGCGCGAAGAGACACCCGCGATGTAAAGCGCGAACGATGTGGGATCGGAAGATGTGGGGCTGAAGACGATGGGCAGAAAGGGGTGGCACGGGGTTGATGTCTTGGTGGACTTGGAATTGTTGGGCGCAAGGCACCAGATGTTCAAAATGAGATGCGCTGACGAAGAACGGTCCGTATGATGTTATTCGCACAAGTCAACTTATAACTTATGAGCCTAATTATACATCTACTCCACTCTTGGAAAGGGAAGACTTCAACAGATTGATTTTTTGCCGAACGCAGAAGTGGACAGGCAATGTTTGTGTTGCTCCGCTCCCTTCAAAACACAGAGTGAGGCGCAAGTCATGATAGGGCATTTCCTGCCCGTGCATGCATCCTCTTTCACCGTGCACATGCACAAAGTGATGCATTCCCTGTAACAATCATCATGGAAGTGAAACATTGAAGAGTATGACCCCTTGGATGACCATTCTTCTCTACAAACATGTGCTTATCTCAACCTGTTGATGTTGCTCTATTGCAGGCGCCTGTGTTGAGAACGGTCCCCAGGTCTGAAGATGATTAGACCGGGTTAGTGTCACCTGCTTTGTGTTCCCCCTTCTTCTTGGTGGGTTGGTGAAACCCTGGGCCTCTGGGCACCTTTCTGACTTCGCTCCTTGGTCTGTATGTTGGGGCTCGGGTTTGTGACCCTGTACTTATTTTGGGATGGGGGAATTGAAGCTAAAGTCCTTTTGGTTCAATCATTTTGTTGAGGACAACATGCAGTGCATTACTGTGATGTGACTGGTTGTCCAGTGGACACTGTGGTTGCTTGATTTTTGCCCCGCCCGCCTCCTTAAAACTAGGGGGGTGTTATTGCCCTCCATTACTGATGTTCTGTTTTGGCCATGTTGGTGATCTGTGCGACACAGATGTGGGCCTCATGGTGGAGAGACGTTGAGTTCTCGGCTCATTTTCCTGACGGTTTGTCACTAATTTGGGATTTGTCCACCAGGATGCCTCTAATAAGCTTTGCCACTTCCATGATTATTTCAGGGAGTGTCGATTATGAATATTTCCGCGACTTTGCCTTAATTATGGGAAACCAACATGGACAGTGAGTGAGCCGACAGATCTTAGCGCAGCACCTCATCGGGGCGCCCTGCATGGTCGGGACTCCCAGTCCGATGTGGCCCGAACTTGGTGCGTGTTTTGCCGTTTTGAGGGGCGGTCATCTCCCCAATCTTTGAGAAAGTCATATGGGCCACTTATGTTAGAATTCACCGGTTGAAGATTATATTATAGGTTCTGGATTTATACCGCCCCAATTTGGATGCGCTCACCTCTTCATATCAAAAGTCTACATTACGTGTGCTTAGGCCTTGACCCTGAGTCGCAACGTGAGCCCTTTAATTGACTCTAATTCGGCCGAAGAGTTCAAATTCCGGTGCAGAACGGTTGTAGTTCAAATTGATGGGCTAAGCCACAAAAGGACCTCAACCACAAGACCAGACACTGCCAGACAACGATGCGCAACACTTGGTGTATGACATTCATCGAGGTGTTAAGGTTCCCGTTGATCAATTTATCCACCTTCAACATAAAGGGTTCTTCCTTCGCATTTGTTGCAGACACATCCCGAAGGCAAATGCAACAGTCGGTTGCCTTCACATGATCAAGAAAACTCTTAGGAACTTTCTTTTATCAACATCTACTTCATCATCCCAAGAAGATTCTCTCTTTCTAAGGTTTCAGATGTTCCAAGATCTCATATTTCATCGGCAGGCACACCGGGGGGATAGGAGCCCTCAGCATTGTTTCGTCCACACCCAGGTTCAGATCGTTTCGCTCGAAACGTTCGAGTCGTCGCCCAAACCAGTCGAGGTGCGCTGCGACGGCCAGGGCGAGCCAAGGCGGGGCGGGGCGAGCCGAAACCTCAAGTATGCCTATAACAACTGCGACATTGGGTGGCGCAATGGGCTATAAAAGAACAAACACACTTTTGCACGCAAAATTAGAGAAAAAACACACCAAGGAGGTTTGCCTGAAAAGAAATCTCTCAATGTGGTTGCAAATTGTTGAAGCATCACACTGACCAGTACACGTTTTTGATGATTCATGACACCAGGGGAACCTTTTCGTAGGCATCGGACTATCCCGATCAGTTTTTGTGTTCCCTTTCCAGAAACGACTACTTAAGCGATATGATTCGTGGGAGTGAGGCAGGCCGAAGTATCCAAATAAGGCCGAAGTAGACCTTGGACAAACCCCAATAAGGTCCTGGAAGAGTTTGGAAGATCTAAAGGACTTGGAGTCTAAGTTTAGAAGCAAACATCCAAGGCAGGGGCTAAAAGCACCAGCTTTTTCAAACACGTCCCAGCATTTGTTTGGCCAGTTGTGTGAGCAGGAAACTCAATTGGCCAAGAACGTGAGGTGTCTTTGTGAATTGCTCTGTTTGCTGTCGGTTGCGATTGGTGGTTCAACTCAAACAAGGTGTTTGGTCATCCAAGGGACACAGAATTCAATCCGTCTCCAGATGCAAGCATAGGCCTTTGAAGTAGTGCCGTATACTGGAAGTTTATAGTGCCTTGCTGTGCCAGGCAAAATACACGACATGCTAGATTTAAAACAGCTCAGTTGTATACATTGCTTGGGTTTGTCCTTTTTGTATACTGTACTAATTATAGCTATATACCTGTAACAGTCAGTAAACAAGCAAATCTCAATTTTAGAGAAAGGCCTGCAACTGAACCATCATCATCATCATCATCATCATCAACCACTGAGCCCAGGGAATAGGATTGAATATGATGGAATAGGATATATACTCAGTATATCTCAATATTACTCAATAATACTCAATACATTGCTTCCTTGTTGTTTTTCATTGGATGTGACGCATTTTTCCAGATTTCCTCGGAGAGGCCCCTGGATGAAGTGCCAGAGGTGCCGGTTGGCCAGGCAAGTCGCTCTCAGGGTCCACCGGACACTTCCTGGCATTTTTCTTGGATTGGAATCGATTCAGATGTCATGATGTGTCTTGGGTATGTAATTGTGCGGTTGTCGGTGATCCCTCAATTTTTGTTGCGACATCTCGCTTTCAAGCAAGTGTAGTGTTCAGCAGAAAGCGAGATTCTCGTGGAACATCCTGGAGAAAAAAATCAAGATTGTCGTGGACATATATGTGAACAAGTGACCTGAGGACCTGGTCGTAATCAGCTGAGTCGTGATCTGGGGAAGAGAATCTCCTGTGGAGGTCAGAGAAGATGCTGGCAACAGATCTGAGGGGCCAGTGGTGACATGACAACAATTCCTGGATCTATACTTCATGAACAAAGCTTCATCCACCAAGTATTTGATTTTTCCGTGGGTCCGAACCATGTTCAATCACCAAGTTCAACAGGCCGAACCAACTGCTTCATGCTTCACAGACTTGTGGGGCCCACTCTCCCCACCGTCCGTGAAGGGAGACGGCAGTCTCCGAGACGACTCGGCGGGGAGAAAGAGGCGTCGTCTTGCACCGATCTACGCCGCGACGTCTTCCGCTTGCCGTGGCTTTTAGAGGCGTTGACATGGGCGTGTTGACGAAGAAATCCGATGTTTGTGGTAAAACTAGTGGGTCTTGGTGTGTTTGCATCCGTTTGGTAGGTCCTGGAAGCCAATGACCTCTCCGTACCATGCAGGATGTTGCTGTGGAACTTGGCATTTTGGCAACATAGTCCGATCTACGCCAATTCTTTCCTGAAGATAGAGCTGGTTCTTACTATATAATACATACGCATGCACAAAAGATAATATATTATAATATATTATATGTCTTACGCCCAATGAACCATGGTCCCACTGATGGACAACATCCTGCGTTAAGTAGCTAAGGTAAGGCTTCTCTCAACAATCATAAGGAATCTCATATATACCTAGAACCTGGGTGATCCTTTTTTGGATCACCAACCACCCCAAATAACGACCTTGCTATCAAAAAACAGAGGTCAAATGGACTCTACTGTAGGTATTTGTTAAAAGAAAGGTGTTAACCGAGACTTCCTGGCCTCCATTCCTCGCACCGAGGCTTTATTCCTCGACTGAATTCCGGCTGGCCCCCAGCGAAGGAGGGGAGAAGTGGTGACGGACTGGGAAAGGGATCGTTGTTCTTCCAAATCTAGTGGATTGAGAGTAGATGGCACAGACCCCAAGAGGTGGTTTATATAAACCAACATGCCCCCATGCAAAGGACATCTTGAGGTCTGTGCCATCTACTCTGAAACCACTGTATTTTCTAGAAAAAGAAGCTGGGTCACATCCAAATATTCGTTTCTTCCAGTCTATGGGAATTGGACTGGGTGAGATCCAAATACTTTTTTTGTTGTACGCCTGGGTCATTCTCGGCACGAAAGCAAGATGATGTGTGCCTGGGGCAGACGGTTCAACTAATAGCAGTTGCTTGCAGTTTGCAGCCCCTCACGCAAGAACTCGTCCCTTTAGAGACACGGTGTTTTACTAGAAACAAAACACATCGCGGGAATGTTGATTTGGTGATGGCATCGGTGACCCCCATCTCCATCCTTCAAAACCGAGGGGGATTGTGGTGATGTCCGTCGTTGCTTTGGCGAACTCCTAAGGGTGAGGGGCAGACGCTTTGCGAGAAAGGACAACTGTTTGTAGGGTTTTCCTGTGCCGTAGTTTTTGAGCCTTTTCGTCTCACTCATGTCGTTCGCCACACCGTGGGCCACACTGGCCGCGAGGTGAGATTGCGCGAGTCCTTCCCCAAGTCAGGTGGGATCTGAACCTGAAGGATGCGAACATCCTGATAGGAGACCCGGGCACAGGAACCTGAACC